GGCATGTGGTGCTGGGGATTGAACCGCAGTCCATGTGTTTTGCTAAACTTGTTCTAAGTAAGTGCTATAGACCACTGAGCCATCTCACCAGTCCCCCCCCATGTCATTCTTATTATACCCTTCTTGTATTTATTTTCGAAGAGAACTTTCTCTTATCAACTATTCTTTGAGGTTAGGTATATTTCATATAGGAACAAGCCATAGATCATTTTCCAAAAGAACAGATACGAGATGAGATGCGTGGCATGTGTGCGATGCAAATGGGGTCACTCCAAGGATGGCACCTGCAAGAGAGGTAAGGAAGTGGGGAGAGGAGGGGAGAACTGAAACTGTAAAATAATTGCAAAGGAGAGCTCAGCCCACCCCACAGGGAGCCTTTCAGAATTAGCCTGCGCCTTTATGCCTGGCCCCAACCCCGCAAGCACTCTCCACTGTGGGGTCCCCAGCTTGAGATGGTTCCCTTCACCTCAGGGAACTCCTGAAGATGGAAACAGCAGCGTCCAGCAGCGCGTGGCTGAATGGCCCAAGTGGCTCACTGCATCAAATGAAAAAGAGCCAGGTGAGGGCCTGATTCCTTTCCCCTTTACTTAGAAGTTTTAAGAATCATAAGTTGATTTTGAAAGGGATCAGAATTCTTTACTTACATCAGGGAGATAGCTCAGTAGAAGAAGAACTTGCCTGGCAAGTGCAGGGTTCTGAGTTCAATCACCAGTACCACCAAAAAAACCAAAACAAAACTTTACTTGGGGGGCTGGTGAGATGGCTCAGTGGTCTAAAGCACCTACTTGGAACAAGCTAAGCAAAGCACAGGGACCGAGGTTCGATTCCCCAGCACCACATGCCAGCCAGCCCCACCCCCTGGTGGGCTGAGTTGGCCACACACACACACACACACACACACACACACACACACACACATAAATAAATAAAATTTAAAAAAAAAGAGAAGATTGACTTTGGGCATATTGTTAAAGAAAAAAAAAACTTTACTTGGAAATACCTCTCTTTAGCATGAGAATGATTTGGGACTGAAGGCAATCAAGAAACTACAGACACAGGAAATTACTCTATTTTCCCCGTCTGTATAAATACAGGGAATACTCCTCTATCATAAGAGAGGAAAGGGCCAGGGAGATGGCTCAGTGGAATAAGCACTTCCCTGGCAAGTGCAAGGGCCTGAGTTCAATCCCTGGAAAAAAAAAAAAAAAAAAAAAAAAAAGGAGAGATGATTACAAAAGCAGACAAAAAACTTACTGAAATAATTTTTCTTCCCTAAACTTTTTCTTCCCTAAGCTTCTCCTTGTATTTGCAGCCAGGGTTTACTGCCCCTAGAAATCTCTTCTTTGTCTTGTGACTTCTCCTCGAGTTTGCCATTCTTTTTCTTTCTTTTTTTTTCTTCTGTCCACACTAGGTACTGAGCCTAGGGTTTCACACATGCTAGACAAGCACTCTGCCCCTGGCTTGCAACCCTAACCGGACTTCCCACCTCCTCTTTTCTTTTTTCTTTGAAATAGATAAGATCTCACCAGGTTTACAGACTGGCTTCAAACTTTTAATCCTCCTGTCTCCTCTTCCAGAGTTGATAGGATTACAAACACGGGCCCTAATCCCAGCCTTTTGGTCTTTGTTAAACTGAACTGTTGGCTCTCGTCACTATCAGCTTTCAATTTTTATTTTATTTTCCATAAGACTCAGTTGTACATCTGTTAATATACAAGTGGCAAATAAAATCTGTATACCTCCTCTCTTTTCAGTCTTTCATCAATTTAATTTGAATGTAAAAGAAAAGAAAAAATATTTCTTCTCTACAATTTCTTAGAACCCTCTAAATGTAACCAATAGGATATTTTTAAAGCATCACAGACTCATAGATTTTAACATATTTATGTTATTTCCAATCCTTTGCAGTAAGTATTATTATATATTTTCATCTTTGACCAAAGGAAACCTCCTCAAGAAACTCTATTTATTTATTTATTTATTTATTTATTTATTTATTGTGGACCCGGGGATTGAACTCAGACACTTGTGCTTGCTAAGGAAGCACTTATTCTACTGAGCCATCTCTCTGGACCCTTCAAGACAACTCTTGAACCCATGGACATGTCCTCGATAGTCTCTGATATCTTCGTTACTTCCTTAATAACAAAATGTCCTAGCATGGTTGTATTATTTCTGTTCCAGAACTTTTTTTTTTGTTCCAGAACTTTTTTATTTTGATGGGAAAAGAAATTTATTTGAAATTATTTTAACTTACAAATAGAAAACATTTTAAAGGGGGAAGAAAAAACCAAAAGCACAAAGCACAGAGACAAACTTTTACTTCATGAGCTTCTCCACCCCTACAGTGTCAAGAAGAAAAACACTCTTCCAAAGTGGTCAGCCACCCACAATGATGTTGTTAATGGGGATGTGGATCAACTTCACAAAGAAGCTGATGAAGCCCATGATAGCAAATCCTATTGCTGTTGCCATGGCAATCTTCTGGAATTCTTTCCTGTCCAGCTTGGTGCATCTCTTCACCAGCCAGATGGAGTCCTTCACGAACTGCCGACTTGGCTCCACAAACTGCATGACCTGATCCATAGCTGCCTATTCTCCTGACAGTCCGAGGGACACGTAGCCAAGAGCCTTTTTTTTTTTTTTTTTTTGCACTGGGGATTGAACTCAGGCCTTTGCGCTTGCCAGAGAAGCGCTTATTCCACTGAGCCATCTCCCCAGCCAGTTCCAGAAGTTTTATAGGGAGTTTTTTTTTTTCTGATTTTCTTTCTCTCTCTCTCTCTCTCTCTCTCTCTCTCTCTCTCTTTCTTTCTTTCTTTTTTTTTTTGTGGTACCAGGGATTGAACTCAGACCCTTGCACTTGCCAGGCAATCCTACTGAGCCATCTCCCAGTCCCTTTCTTTTTTGTTTCAAAGAAAAATATAGGGCTGGAGAGATGGCTCAGTGGTCTAAAGCACCTACTTGGAACAAGCTTGGCAAAACACAGGGACCGCGGTTCGATCCCCCAGCACCACATGCTAGCCAGGCGGGCCCCCTGGTGGGCTGAGCTGGCCACACACACACACACACACACACACACACACTAAATGTTAAAAAAGAAAAAGAAAAATATACAATGAAAACAGTGGCATAAATTTTCAAAACAAGATTGTAAAAGAGTCACAATGGTCAGTATACTGCATATTATTATCTTCAAAGTAGTTGCCCAAATTGCAAGATATAGGCATGAAAAATGGACCAAGCAATATAGGCACATTCCTTTCCTTTTAGTGAGTGAATAGCAATTAGTAGGATAACTATCTCAACTATCATCATTCGTATTTCCCTCCCTTCTTTTCTCCATTTCCCCACTCTAGTTTCTCTTTCCTTTTGAGCATTTTCTTCCCATTTTACAATATCTATTGTATCTTTCGAGTTTTACTTACTCTTTCAGCTTCTTACACTAGGGAGACAGTATGATGTGTATGTAGTTGAGACTAACTTATTTCACTTATAAGTATGAACTCAGATCTCCATTTCCCTAGAAATGTCTCAAGCTTATCCTTCTTTATAGCTGAGTGATACTCCATTGTATAAAAGCGCCACATCTTTTCTATCCATCCCTCAGTGGATGGGCATTTAGTTTGTTTCCAAGATCTAGCTACAACAAATTGTGTGCTGCTCTAAACATGGGTGCTGCCTACCACACCTGAACTATGCTGCTTCAGTGCAGTTCAGCTGAGTGTCACAAGCTGACCACCAGCTAGCAATCCATCACACCCTGTATGCTATAAAATGCTGAGCCCTCCTCTCTACAGTGTGTCCTTTATTTTTCTTTTTTCCTTTTTTTAAAATTTATTTATTTATTTATGTATATGTATGTGTGTGTGTGTGTGTGTGTGTGTGCGGCCAGCTCAACCCACCAGGGGGCGGCGCTGGTTGGCATGTGGTGCTGGGGGATTGAACCGCGGTCCCTGTGCTTTGCTAAGCTTGTTCTAAGTAGGTGCTTTAGACCACTGAGCCATCTTACCAGCCCCTTTATTTTTCTTATGGTACATATTTCTAGCTATGTTCAAATGGATAAGTAAAAGCAAGCAAAATAAATATATTATTTTAAATTCGTATGTAATCAGTTTATCAAACTTTTCCCCTTGCTTTTGGATTTTAAATCATACTTAAGAAAATGTTTCTTTGGGCTGGTGAGATGGCTCAGTGGTCTAAAGCACCTACTTAGAACAAGCTAAGCAAAGCACAGGGACCGTGGTTCAATCCCCCAGCACCACATGCCAGCCAGCCTCGCCCCCTAGTGGGCTGAGCTGGCCACACACACACACACACACATAAATAAAATTAAAAAAAAAGTTTCTTTGTTACTTATTTATATGGAAACTTACCTATACTTTTACCTAGCACACATATGGTTTCATTTTTAATTTAATCTTTTACCAGTTTAGATTTTAGCTAACCTAACTGTGAGAACAGCATACACTTTCCCCCATGCATCTATCTAGTTATTTCACTAGGCATCTTAGTCCTGATGACTCATTTTATTTCTTGAGTCAGAGAAATATCCTTTCTCTTCTCATCTTCTTCTCTTTCTCTTTCCTCTATTATTCCCCTCTGACCTCTATTGTTTATTGGCAAAAAGACATTGAAAGTCCCCAGTGCCTTCCTTCATTCCATTCCATTTCAATTTTTCATTTTCTTATTCCCCTCATTTTTTTTTCTTCTTGACATTCTTCTTTATGGAATAGAAAATTTCTTTGCATTTATCTCCCTGATTACCAGCCTAATCTAGTACTGTTCACTTAACCTTCAGATTACAATTTCATGATATTCAATTTATTTTTATTTTTTTTTTAATTTATTTGTGTGTGTGTGTGTGTGTGTGTGTGTGTGTGTGGCCAGCTCAGCCCACTGGGGGCGGGGCTGGCTGGCATGTGGTGCTGGGGGATTGAACCATGGTCCCTGTGCTTTGCCAAGCTTGTTCCAAGTAGGTGCTTTAGACCACTGAGCCATCTCACCAGCCCCACTGAGCCATCTCGCCAGCCTCAATTTATTTTTATTTTGAGCATTAAGTAGTTTTTTGTACTCAATGAATTATTAAATTTCAAATTTCTAGTTTTCCAATAGTCTGTGCTAATGTTGTCTAAGTTCTCTTTTTATAGCGGCCCAATCTTGTTCAATATATATAATGACTTTTTTTTTGTTTTTTGGCAGAACCAGGGATTGAACTCAGGCCCTTGTGCTTGCCAGGCAAGCACTTATTCTACTGAGCCATCTCCCCAGCCCTTTAATGACTTTTTGACTCTCTGTATTCATAATAGACTTTATCTACTTTTTAAATTTTGAAATCATGATAGTCACAGAATGTTTTGAAAAGTGTTTTTGAAAGCTAGGGTGGTATCTTCAAAGTTTTGAGGTTTTGTTTTTGGACAAAAAACAGAAGCTAGCTTTATATATTCTGCTTCCTACAAGTGGGGAAAGAGGACTGACTGAGAGTCAACCTGCTTTGTTTTTCAGGGCAGTGGCCAGCTTCAATTATGGCATCCAAAACTGGACCTTCTCCATGGCCTCTTAGGAAAGGTTTTTTTTTTTTTTTTTTTTTTTTTTTTTTTTGTTGAACTGGTGATTGAACTCAGGCCCTCACGCTTGCCAGGGAAGCACTTATTCCATTGAACCATCCCCCAGACCCAGGAAAGATTTTTTTTAAATCAGAGGGTGTCTTAAACTACAATTTCCCCAGTGTGTTTTACCTATTGGTCTTGTCTTATCCTTTTTTTTCTTCTACTATTTCCTTCCACTTTCCAGTCTGAAACGTGCTCCACTGTGTTTTCTAGAACAATCTATGCTACTAAGTATGGAGTTTAGTGACTCTGGGAAGAAATGGCTGCAGTGCTGCACTTAGTCTGCCATTGCTCCATGAACTCTCTTTGTGGCAGCCAAAATCACTATCAAAAATCAAAATCTAACTTGTTACATGAGGTAACATTTTTTTTCCAGTTGTTTTATGCCAAAATTATTGAATAAATATATTTAGAACCATAAAAGCTTGTTTTTTGATGGTTTTCATTCATGCATCTATCTGCTTTAAATTCTGCATTTCCTTAGAAGCTACAATGCCCCCTAACCTGTGGTTCTATGGAGTGTTGGTGGTGTTCTGGCTCCAATTCTGATTCCTGGCTGGGCAGCTCTATCTAACACTGATGTAATGATACAAAGTGTCTCTCCTTGCTGTTTTTTTTTTTTTTTTTTTTTTTCACTTATTTGACTGATGGGTATCTCAGAAGATTGGAGATGGTGTACTTGAAATGCAGAGTTTGTTGTTATTATTGTATTTTCAGAGTCAGAGCATGTACAATATATGGTCTTAACCTAACCTCACAGGGGAAGGCATGTTGTGGGGTAAGTGGTTGACATTCAGATGAAGCTGACCAGGGCCAGAAAGATGGCTCAGTGGAATAAGCGCTTCCCTGGCAAGTGCAAAGGCCTGAGTTCAATCCTCAGTTCCACCAAAAAAAAAAAAAAAAAAAAAAAAAAAAAAAAAAAAAAAAAAAAAAAAAGGAACAGTCAGATGAAACTGACCTGTTGGTGCTGCAAAATAGAGGGCTGGGACTAGGGAGAGAGTTCACGGAAATGCCACACAGGTCAGAGGCTCACCAGCTATTTCATTTCATTAAATGATGGAACAAATGCACACTGTATTTAAGCTGAAGCCAGAACACCTTAGAAAATTTCTTGGAAGAGTGAGGAGCTTAATGTAGAATATAGTTTAATGGCTTTTCTGTAGAATTTGGAAAGGTTTGTATCTATATGGGCCATAGATTCTTATCCAGGGTGTGTGTTCAATAGCTAATAGCTTCTCCGTGTACTTTCCAGTCTTAGGAGTCAGTAATTTAGTGTGCTTAAGTAGAGATCTCTCTAACATTTTGCATTGAATAGCAGAATAAATAGGTAATAGCATATCCATATAATGTGCTAACATGTCATTTAGGCTGCCTGAGGGCTGTAGTAAATTACTCTGCCATCTTTTTAAGTGAATATACAAAAGCTAAGCATCAATGATAAGATGACTCGGTATCTTACTTTATTATTATTCCTTCCCTTTGGTGTTGGGAAATGAATTGCTTAGGAGAGGGAAGTGAGCCCTGGCTTAACCACTTGTGAGCGGAGAGGCCACACAGCAAATGTGAACTTCTCATTTCCCTGCTTCAGACATCTATTTCCTAAGAAGAAAAAGAGCAAATTCAGAGTGTGAACACTTGAATACAATGTATCTATAGGAATTAGGTGTGAGTGAGAGTAAAACAATGGAATGCACATGGGATTGGTGTTTATCTTATTCTTTATAAAAATAGTGTTGAGTGACAACTAATAATATTAATACAAGGCTTACTGTTGACTAGTCATTGCTGTAAATACTTTTCTAATATTTATTTGTGCAACTACTTTGTGGGGGAGGGATACAGTTACTCTGTGTCAGGGATGGGGGAACTGGAGCCCAAAGGTCCAGTGGCTCACCGTGGTCACGCAGAGGGCTAGGTCCTGTGCGAAACTGTCCCTAGCAAAGTACTGATTTCCTGACAGTACTTGAGTTTGTTCGATGC